ATATCCTAACAATGGAAAATATGTAAGGATTATCGATGGGAATTAAAAATTTAATTATAAGAATTCTTTATATAAACCCTTCGTTTTATTATGTATACTGTTTACAATTCAGAGAAATAATAAGTGACTTATATTTTCTAAAATCTTAGATCAAAGAAATTTTATAGGAAATATAAGTCAAGACTTGCTATTTCTCTAAATTGTAAACAGTAACGAAATGCCAAAGATTATATATAATAGAAAGTTTTTAAATATTTTTTTAAATCCTTAATTTCTGTCGGTATCCTTACTTCTTTTCCACTGTCCCACAATAATAACAAGAACAACAACAACAACAACAACACAACAACAATAATCTCTTTTCTCGTGTCGACGATGCTAGAAATTACTCCAAGATCTCGAACGGAAAAAAATTGATTATTATATTGATCAATTGACCGAATCATTCAAATGTGATTCATTAATTCTTTCTCTGAAATATCGGAAAGATTTTTAGCATTGTAGGCATGGTTTCAGATTAAGAGATTCACATACCTCACATATTCTCTCGATCGATGTTCTATTTTCTCTTGAGACGAATAATGTCGAGCAATTGTGATCATTTCGTGTTCCGTTATCTTGTCTCCCATATAGCGGCGCAATGCCTCTCTGTAAATATAATTTTAATCATAATAAACACGAAGATGATGCGGAAGGAAGGATAAATATTTCACACCCACTTGAGCTTTTCGTATTCTAAACTTCGAGTATCGTCTTTGGTGTCTTCAGGCGGAGCGTACAGTTGAATAAACTCTTTGTAAACGGGCTGTAAACTCTCTCGAAGTTTCTCCATTATCAATTTCTTGTTCGCTTTGGGAAACTGCGAAGAAAGTTTATTCCTTCCTTAGTATCGCATACATAAACAAGTCAAGCTTGGAGGATCGTAATTTTATTGCAATATTTGGACAGAACTTTTTTATGAAATGGCTATAATTTGTTTAACGGATAAAATATAGAAACGCACCTTGTCGCAATGTAACTCCATATAACGGAGGACATAAACATCTGCAGACGTAATTTCAAAAAGAAAGTCGTACAGGTTTAAGCGTGCTCCTATATAAAAATCGTGTGATTTGTAGTATTCCGGTTTCTTGCTCGTGAAAATATCTTGATCAGGTAACATTATTGGCATCCGTTTTTGGAATAAGGATCTCTGAAAGCCTGATTTAATTTTGTTACATTTTAATGTTATTCTAATATTTTGTTTCTATTTCAATTTATTCACTATATACTTCAATTCATTTAATATATGCAATACATTATATATGTAATACATTTTACTACTACTATTATAACAGTATAGCGCCCATAGTCACTTATAAAAAAATTAGTAAATTACATTTTTTAATGTTAGATATATTTGGAATAAATCTTTTATCAATATAATTTTTTCCAAATTTTTTATGGGTATACCTGAGTTTTTTTTTCCCAATTCGAAAATAGATATCGTATCGTCCATGAGGAATACTCTTATAATGAATTGTCTTTCTTCATTTTCTGGAATTTTTGATATCATTTTCGCTCGGAATCTAAAGACGTGGCTATTAAAGCCCTGCCTGAAACGATAACAAAGAATAGAAAAGCTAGACCAAACAGGAAAGAAAGCTAGTTTTGAAGCATGTTGCTCGCGACTCACTTGTCGCAATACAGAAACCTCATGAAGTCTGACTTGGGCCGTTTCGGTATTATCGCAAAACAGTTTCCGAGAGAATCCTCGTAAGATCCGAAACCATTGTAAGGTGGTATATACCTCTCGAGCTTCTGGTACATTTCGGCTTTTCGAGGCCTTATCAGAGGAGTGAAGTCGTCCAAGCCATACTTCTTTCTAAAGATTATTAAAGAAATATGTGGAGTCAAGCTCTGATAGGAACATAAAAAAATTCTGTGTTATTTTACCGATAATATTCTTTGGTAAAAGCATCCATGTTTGTGATGATAATTCTTCTCCCGAAAACATTAATCTCTGCACCGATACCCAACTCATTATCTTTGTAATAATCGGCGGAGATCTTGCCGGTATTTAGAGAATCCACCAAGTAATAACTGTGCCTTATATTCTCGCCTAATACATTCAGAACCGTGAAATGATTTTCTGCGCCAATTGGTTGCAAGCCACTATAAAACTGGAAAGACAATTTTGAAATATATGTAAAAAATTAGATAATTATTGGAACAATGATGTAATTTTATGATAATATATTATTTAACATAACAGCAAAATTTAACATAGCAAATTAATGATTTTCGATGAAATCTGTGAAATCTCGTCTCTATTTAATGTTCATTTCTATCAATATAGATTAATCTTAGTTTGATTTATTCTCTTTATCTTTTTCTAATTCTTAGACCGAAAAAAGAATCAAAAGTAAGTAATAAATTCTACTTCTAAAAATTAGAAAAAGATAAAGAGTAAATTAAATCGAGATTAAAATTAATCTATAATACATTGGTAGAAATTAATATAAATATCATACCTTTGGTATCTTCATTCTTTTAACAAGTATTAAACCAGAATCTCGACCGGCGTTCGGCGATATATTCTCCTTGATTTCCATTGTATTATCAGATAGATAATAATACAGTTCGAGATCATGGATAATACCGTGAAGACTCTCGGTATCGTCCCAGTAACCATAAAATCGGAGCACCTGCTTATCGTACTTTAAAAAATTCCCGAGAGTATCCACTAAACGATAAGGCTTTTTTGGAAATACTTCCTGCGATATTAATCGCGTCATAATATAAATTTTGTATAATCAAATGTTAAGTGTTTGCCATAAGTTATTAGGCGTGATTTCATTAACGTAAATTTTATTTGCGTTATTCTGTACTTACAGCTTTTCGAATTTTATCATACGGATCCTTTGGTATATCTATTGGATCGGGCACTGGTATTCCCATACGGTTAAGGAATTGCCTCGTGAATTTGTCACAATCTACAATTTTATATACTCGTCCATATATCTCGGGTTCCTTGCCGACATTTAAATCGAGTATATCATAATATCTGTACTTCACTGGATCGGGAATCGGTATCCTTTGGCGTCTGACCAAGACACCTTCATATCGAAAATTAATACAATTGCAGTACATATCACTTTACATTGATAATAATGAAAAATATCTATTTCGATTTTTCTAAGATAAAAGCATAATAAGATGCAAAAATAAAATGTGCCGCTAAATGAATTACGAAAATGAAATGCACCGTTGAACCTTGCTCAAGACCACTATTGTCCACAGACGGCTCTACGATTTTCATTGTTCCATCCTCTAGGAAAAAGCTAATTTTCACCACGCGAATGTGGAAAGCTGTTTTCCATTTCTCTTGTACAGTCTCTTGGAAAAATGCTTTGAACATGAGTCTCTAAAAAGTATGATTAAAATAATTAGCATTAATTAACATTAATTATAATCAATTTATAGTTTGAGAAAAAATTTTCTTAATTTTATTTATTCATACATTTTACAATTATTATCTAGAATATTATGTTAAAGAAATTTCTTAAAAAGTACTGCATAGAATTTTATTTTATTCATCCGTACAACGTTTTACTATAATTATTATATAAAATATTGAAGGAAGTCCTTAAAAAGTATATAAAATTTCATGAGCTCATTTACTGTCAATCATACTTGGCTATCATATGTAAGCCACGACGGCATTTCTGGTTCCTCCCCTTGGGGATAAATGGACGAATAACGGTATGCTTTCGTATCCGCTTTCTCAGATAAATAATTAACTCCATCGTGTAACTTGTTGAAGAGTTGGCTTTTGTGAAATCTTGTTCTACCAAGCTGCCAGACATATTTACGATGTAAATCTTTCTCTTTTTGCGCACTAATATTTCATATTGCGCCTATATTTTACATTGACATGAGCTATATTCTATAACATGCTTTTTAACGTATATAATAGTGTTCGTAATAACGTGGAATTTTACCGATACCGTCACAATTATATCATGAATATAAAATTACTCACGTTTTTGTCGACGCTAAATCCTGGGAGACAAGGTAACATCGATGTCCGTTGCATACTGATAAAAATTCTATCAATTCACAGTTAAATTATTGCTTGAATTATAAATTCGTTACAAATGGCGCAAAGAGAATACACGATTGATATAAAAAACTTCGTACTGTGAGAATGTTACTGATAAGGAACGAATACCATGTTCACGTTATATCATTTAGTTTCCTTGGTGATCGTTGGATCTATACGGTAATACACAGAGAAAAATGCACGACTTTTTTGTACAGAAGAGATAGTGGCTTCTTATCTAATTACCGATGTAGAGACTTCAGTTGTTCACAAATTAATTCATATAATTCTAAACTAATATTTTCGATAAATATTTACGGTAACAGATACGTAGAAGCATTATTCTAAAAATTAGCTGTATAATATAAATCGGAATTTAATTGTTCAATATAGCTACAAAGTTGACAATGCACATAATATTTATTGTTCTCAACAATTTGTGACACTATTGACGAAGTCGTCCGTCACAAAATATAGATACATAGATATATTTATGTGTATATATATGTATATATGTATGTACAGCCTTGAATATAAATGTAAAGCATCTTCAATTTATTGCATTTCTTAGAAAAGGCAGTAATAAAAGTTAAAGGAAAACTAACAAAATATTAAAATTCTTATAAAAATAAATTTGATTTTTTAATAAAACTATTAAAAAAATTTTTTTGTTAGATATACATAAAATGTTTATATCAATTTGTGGGGATGCTTTATATTTATGGTCATGACTGTATAATGTAGCAAAATTTCCAATACAAATATAAAGCGCATATATAACAATTTGATTTTCAAGAATGCTATATTAAAATTATATGGATGTATATCTTATTAAAATTATACCAATGTGTATCTTATAAAATATGAATTATTGAAATATTAATATAATTATTCATTTAATTAGTTATGCAATTGGTAAATGCATTCAGCTTTATTAGTAACCAAACAACAGTATTGGGATATAGTAAAGAAAAAAACATGGAATACAATATCGAAAAACATTAACTTACGTAACTAATTTTCATAAGCATATAAATTAATCACGTGTCATATATATGTGTTATATTATTCAGATCATTCAGTAATAGTGTCTGCACATAGTTGTGCATTTTGTGCAACTTAATCATCATACAAACATAAAATACAAAATATATTATATATCAAGTGCGGATCAGCATTGGAACGAGAAATTTTCAATTCCTTTATGCGCGTATATTTAATAGCTTGTATTCTCTAAGTTATCTCGTCATTGAGATTTACAAATATAATACGCATTGTGTACCGCAAATGGATTCTTCAATTAAACGGCCAGCGTTTAACTATTTTAGGCACATTTTGAAAAACAAGATAATAACGACACATGAAATTTTTGTTGAAATCCGATCTTTTCGCGCATGTATATCGTATTAAAATATGTTATAATAGAATGTATATCAGAAATTTGAAATTACTAAATCAGCCAAGCCAATCCGCCCCTGCTTTGTAGTTGCGGCAAAATTATATATCAGATCTCATTTCATGCCATTAGACGTAAGTACGAATCTCTTTAAATATTTTTTATCGTTTTTCGCAAGACGTCTTGCATCTCACATAGCACCACGTATTAACTTACCTTAATAAATTATCAATTTAACAATAATGGTCAACGGAATATAGAGGTAATTGTAACATTTGAGACTTTCATCGTTTGTAAAAATTATTAAGTGGGAATTTAAGCGGTTGTTTCGTCAAACAGACGCACAAACGCTCGAATCCCCACTTATTTTTCCTTTTTTTCTAGTCTTTGATTTCCGGTTGTAAATCGTACCAGCTGGTTACCGTCTTCGAAATGTTGATTTCACTCAATTTCAAGTGAACCTGTCCCATCACGTTACTTCCGGTAGAGAGCCAACCCTTTTGTGTGCATACAGACACTTCTAATACGCGTGTGTTTAAGTCTCCTTGCGAGACTACATATTCGAATTGCTCGTCGAATTGAGGATTACAGTTATCCTTGATCACAGCAGTTTTGCGCTTCGTTTCCTTATGTTTGTCCGGCAAAATATATAGTTTTACATACGGATCCGGTATATTGTGCGGATCATTTTGGGGAAGTGGCAGATTACTGCAATATAATATATATAGTAGATAACATCAACATCAATTGTAATGAATACGAGATGTATTTGATTAATTGAGATTAACTTACGCAACTTTGTGTACGAAAATACTGAGTTTCTGTCTCTGCGTGCTGTATCGTATAGTCAATTGTATTCTTCCTAATTTCGATTCGCCCGAAGAAGACGTAATACTCGGATTTCTATGGATAAGCTGAGGGCTTCCGGTAAAAGAGGACGGAGCGCTGGTGCTGAGTATTAATTCTTCTTCCACCGCTATTGGTTCCTCAAGTAAAAGTGCCGCGGCGGATCCAATGCTACGAGGTTGACTGTTGACCGATTCTTTAGAAGGCTCTTTTTTAAGAGGGCTCGGTGGTACTATAAGAAAGTAGTATCTCGATTTTTGTACATGAAAAAAATTATATATTAATTATATATTAATATCATTAGCCAACAGTAATTTAATTGAAAATAAGCTTACTTATTCAATGACAGTATTAATGAAACAAATATCATTTTATTAAAATAAGAGCATGACGTAATTTCATTAATACTGTTATTAAATTAACAAAATTATTTTCAATTAAACTGCTGTTAGTTAATACAATATCATTTTTTTTGTGTATGATATTTTATCAATCATTTTTAGAAAAGTATTTTCTAAATACTTTGCTCGATCGAAAAACGTGACATTTGACACAATTTCACTTACCACTAGAAGAGAGTACATTACTAGTGGTGGATTCTTGACGTTCGATTCGTCTATTCAATTCATTGATGTCATGATCATCTTCGTCTTCCTCGGAAGTAGGTTCAGGCTGCTCATATTTCAAGATCTGTAAAATCAGATTGTTTTACCCATTGGCATATTTCCATTACATACATATGGGCGTGTAAAATTTCCTGTTACATTTAATGTCATTGATAATACAAGTTTGCTGTCCACTTCGGCCTTTTGCAAAGATTATAGCTCATCTCCCCAATTGTTATGGCAGTTTTCTCGTCTATAATCTAAGAAGGAACATGCGATTATTTGTTAAATGACGATTTGTTGTTAAATGACGATAAATCTGATATCTCTTATATTATTTGAACGAAAAAATTTGCAGAAAACCTTTATATGTAAAACTCCAGTTTCAGGATTGCTAACTAAAAAGGTGAATCCTTGTTCCCATACAGGATCGCAAGAACGTTGTACAGTGGCTGTTCTTTCAGTTTTTCCACCGACACTTGCTTCCAAGTAAACGTCGGGTTGTTTATTTCCTCGAATACACTAAGAATATAATGATGTTAAAAAATTTTATTAGATAATTCTCGCTTTTCTTCTTTACATATCACGATGTACGTACCGGTAAATTTTTAGCAGAATCAATATAAAGTGTGAGAAGGGCTGTACTCATTGATGTAACTCTAAGTTCCTGAGTTTCCACTAAAGCCTGCTCAAAAGTTATCAATTAAAGGTTGTATATTCAAGTGTACAAGTACGAACATTTTTTGCTATACTTACAGCTCTTAAATCGGCAGGTTCTTTTGAAAATTGTAGCCACGTTAATCGCAAATGAACCATGCCATGCTTTGCTTGCTCCAAAGAGATCCACTATAAAATAAGATCAATTAATAATTAGTAATAAAAAAAAAGACTTTACAATGGAAAGACAAATTTAGTACAACTGGACAGAGAATGATTCCATGTACAAAAACATAGACCAAAAATGCAGAATAAATTTTTTTGCTTGAAATCAGGAAAATATGTGGGCACTGAATGAAAATATGGTTTATGGAAAGGCACTGTAAACGTTATCATACTTACATAACATTCACACAACTTCAGAATTAACAGTAAAGAAAATGAGACAAATAAAATAATTAAATTTTATGTATTTGATTAAAACAGAAATCGTTCAACAATAAAGCCTCAAATAAAAAAAATTTTTTTTGCGCTTCCGACTAATTTTTGTATAAAAAATTACTTTCCCGTCCAATTGTACTACAGGTCTGTCCCGATTCTATATAATATATATTTCATACTTACCGTATCGATCGTGCCCTTTTTTTTCACTCGATTAACTTCGATAGTGGCCCTGTCGCAATACAAAATAGAAATGGATGCTTTCAAAACTCTTAAATATAAAAATTATTCATTAAATTTTCAAGAATAAATAATTATTTTGGTGAAGTTTAGATGTGTGCTTTTTGCAATGATATGATGATAACAGCATGACTATTAAATTTATAAAAGAAACATCTCCGTGATTTGAATGCAAAATCTATGATACAATTTGCATTTAGGAAGCTCATGCAGCATATTATTTCTACTGTACTTCTGATTTTATCGAATAATGATACAAAAATATTATTGTATGTTATATACGTTTATAAAACTGCATGCAACATTTCATAACATTATTTCTTTGCATAAATAAAATAGACTTCTCAATGTTTGCTTAATATGTAACGAGAGTAATGTGGTGACATGAATTCAGAATTATTTTTAATTCCGAATTGCAATTGGCATGACTATTCTATAATATTTTTCATATATCATATTTTTGTATGCTCTGAGTAAACAACATGCATATCACAGATATGTGATTAATGCTTACGTTTGAAATACTTTTAAATGCACTGCAGTGTTTCAGAGGTAACTTATATAATAAAAAAATGCAGTCTTTCAAGCATAATCTAATAGTCAATGGCAGAGTATTCGCATAATTTACATTCAAGTTTCTTAAAATGCATTATTAATCTGATTTGAGATTGATGTATTTGCTACATTCAGGAATACCTGCCAAGTGGATCATCTTGACCAGCGTTGTCTTTGTCAAAAAGCTGGGCACCCACCGTGTTGTAAGCTCCCAAGCCCTCTTCCACTATAAACTGTCACCACATAGTCTATTTTAGTTGCCTTTCTTGTTAAACAAAGTCACCTAATCACTCTGATTAATTAACTAACAAAAAAGATCAAATAGTTAATCATTAACGATATTTTTTTGTTATAAAAAAATCTCAAACAACAGCAAATTGTTTCATTTAATTATGATTATTTAACAACAAATGAAATTTACACTACAGACTATTAATAGATACACTAAAAATTTAGGAATATATTGTACAAAAAATTGTAAAGAAAATTAAAAAGTAATACAGCTCTGAGAAGTTGTAAAAAAACATGTATTTTATTTTAAAAGAAGAAAATTTCAAAATATTAAGTATATAAAATAGAAAATTTTCGTGCAACGCGCGTTTAACAAGCTATAATATCTGCAGCATTAGTGAAATAAATTTTTTTAAATCGTGATAGAAATAAAAAAGATTATTTTACATTATACTTTTTACATAGACAAACATATACATGTAATACCATAAAGACAAATATCGTGGCTAAACAACACATGCTTAAAATATAACATCCAAATCTGTATATTTTTGTTAATGATGCATACGCAAACATTGCCTCATTCAAGTCATAATATTACTACCTGCCAAGGAAATCATCATATTGTACCCCTGGGACATTAGGATCCCAATCCCAAAGAGATACCACAGCTTCTTGCATATTGCATGAACTGATCACAGCCTGTGTGTCAATATTATATTGTATAACAAACATAAAAGTGACAGGTTTTCAAATGTATATTATTTATTGTATTGTTTATTATTTTTCTTTTTGCTTTCTCTTTGTTTTTTGCGTGCTTTACATTGCTGTGCTATGTAAATACTAAATATGTAAGTATATGTATTATGAATCTCATAAACATGATATGTACAAAATTTAATCTGAACAATGATTGCAATATTTATTTCACAACATGACAGTTTTATTTTTCATGTGTCCAATAGAGAGTGTTAGTAAAGAAAATTAATAATATAAAGTGAAAAAACCCCTTACATGCACCCATACATCATTCAACAATATTCAGACTGACAACATAAACATTATCACACATCAGCATTATGACATCATGCGACAAAAGCTTTTCCATAGAAGCTTTTCCCATAGATCAATAAGATAAATCGAATGAATTTAATAAATAATTTCGTATAAATTATATATAAATTATAATAAAAATTGTATGACAAACATTGATCAACCAGAGAAATAATTTCCTTGTATAATGATATGAAATCTGAAATGAATAATGAAATAAGAAAAAATCCATATAATGTTATATATAACTATACCTTCCAAGACTTTCGTCGCCCTTTGTGTCATCATAGTCCCACAGCAGTACAGTCAGTTGTTGCGCGATGGCTGAAGTCACGGCACACTAATCCCATATAATATATTGCACATCACATACACACATACATACCAACTTATGAAATTAAATTAACATAGAAAGATTAAAATGTATTCTAATTGCAGTCTGAAAAAGGCAACATTAACCACTATGAGTGATAGGAAATGGGAAATGTAATCGCGGAAGAAAAGTGTTTGCGGTTGATTAGAATTGATATGTATATGTAAATTATATGTGAGAAAGCAGGGAGTTGATTATTTAGAGAACGCTAGATCAGCAATGTATTAAATATTTATAAATATTATATAAAATATACTTATCCATATTTTTATAAGAAAGTTAAATGCAAGAGAGTGGTATATCTCATTTATAGCATTAATTAAATGAAGTAACATGATGAACTATAGACTGTAGAAAAGTTCTAGTTCTTAAAAAAATTTATTTTGTAAATTGCTAAAATATTTTTCTTACCACATATATAGAAGACCTTGTGTTGTATTATTTTTTAAAGAATATATATCGATAGATTACAATAAAACACATGCATTGATAAGAATTTTTGCATTTATGAAATATCGCACATACCTCACACCAGTAGTCCCATTTTGGATTAACAGTATTGTCAATTATTTTTGTTCTGAATTCCTGGGCACCAACATTTATGACAGCATACGGATCAGACTTGCCCTTACCTAGCATTCCAATATCTTTTTTCATCAGATGCTTTGCTTCTACAACATGAATTCTTAGAACACCCTAAAATAAAATAAAAAAAATTAAAATGTTAATTACAAAAGAAAGTAAGAATACAATATATGAAATATTTCTGCAAAACTTACTTCGGGTTCAGGTATTTTTAGAGACTCCATAGGTATTTCTTCGCTTAAGGGTATAATTATTTTGTTTGGCAATACAACTATGGCTGATATCTGTTCAACGATTGTCTTTCTTAAAATTTCACTAAAAAAAAGCATCATGCTTTTGTTTAGTATTTTTGTGTTCAATTAATAATATTAATTGCTTGTTATATCAGTTTTAGAGTGAGATATTTTATATAAAACAAAAAAACGCATACTTGAATCCAGGTAGATCTAATACATCAGCCACTCCTACTAAATTGAAGTTAATGGTAGGAACATTCAAGTAAAATATCTGTACACCTCCGATTAACGGCATCATGGGCAGCATAGGTTTCATAACAACGCGCACTAAACCATGTATCTGAAATTTTTTATATTTTTATTAAAAATTGCAGAAAATTTCCATAATTGTATATTGATTTTTAATATACTTACTTGAAAATCTTTAATACCACCTTTGATGTTTCCAACGAAAAAGGTAATATCACAGTCACCAGCATACCTATAAAAAATAATGATTGGAATAGATGATTTTCAAAGATATTAATATATTTTGTAAAAGGTTAGAGTACACACATAATATCTGCATCTAAGATGATCTCATTTCTTGAGGTATTTTTATCATATACTTTGATCCCATAAATTTTTGGTGGCTGTAAAAGATTATTTTATAGATTTTAGAAAAAGTATAAAAATTATAAAAATTATAAAAATATAAAAAAGAGAAATGCTGCATGACTTTAAAAAGAATTGAAATAAACTCACAATGCGACCCAGGACTAGACGGTCAAATTGAAAGCCTTTGATTTTATATTCAGTCAGTTTTTCAACAATCGACGGTTCTATACTTTGCTTACATAGCTGACGGACAAACTGATTCATACTTGGCCATACCTTATATAAGATCTGAAAGTGTGAGATATAAAATTATGACAATTAAGATTCTGTTCTCTGAAACCGTTAAGCAATTTAATATCTATATTTTATTTGAAGATGATTTCTAGAATATAACATGAAAAAGACTCATACTCTATTTAGCCATTCGGCTCTATCAAAGTCCGGAAAATATACCCATGAGGGTAATTCATTCATTCGACTGACGATCAATTCCTTTTCTTTAGCCAGCACACTGGCTTGTGCTGTAATTGTTCTTAATTCGTTGTCTCTTTTCCGTTCTGCTTTCCATACGGAAAACGCGATTGGCGCGATTAACCAGGCTATGCTATAGTTGAAGTATCCCCATCCCCAGATGATACCAGCCGCCGCCAGTTTAGTCAAAAACGATATAGTTAGCGAGCTGACGTTCATGTACGGCCAAGTAATTGGTTTGGAATTTTTATTAAAAGAATTGTTTTCCGATTCTCCTTCCATTGTTTTATTCTCTTTCCTTTAGTTTCTATTTTCAAATCTTATTTGATATTATTAATCAGATCTTGGTTTTCTGCAAATGATAAATGCGCAAATATTTTTATTATGAAGTAATTTAAGTTTTTGTATATAAAATTTTATGAATAAGCAATTTTTGAAAAACTATTCATGCAACATATATAGATAACAATATATTAAATTATAATTAAACCACATTTAGTTGCTTATTAATAGAACTAATAGCATGAGATAATCAACTATGTGCATTTGTCTGTTCTCATCAATATCCATTAGCATAATTAAAATAATCAAGTCAAGATCTCATCGGTGTTAAGCTCAAATGGATTTTACTTTGAAATTGCTCGACTGCGTAGTCGCTAGAATATCTATGCGCGCATTAGATCATATCAACGTAATTCGCGATGACCTTTAAGATCAAGAGAGGACATAAAATTTTGTTGGTTGGATCAACGCAACCTTGATACGCGATACATCAAGCACGATAAATTTATGTATCCCGCAACCAAAATAAGAAACACGTCAATAACTTCTGCTGCAATATGAAACTAAGAATACTAAAATAAATAAACGAGGCACAGTAAAACTTTTCTGCTTTCATTTACATGTATTTTTAGCGATAATTGAAAACACGATTTATATTTTAAAATCAAACTTTTTGAAATCTATTGCATTTTATACACACATATATATGATGTATATTACTTTTTACATACGAAATATAATCTAAAAAATGGAAATATTTAATAAATTCTTTAATAAATTATAAAGTTGCTGTGGATGATAGACTTTTTGTGCAAGTTTTTAGAAAAATTATTATTTTCTGACAATTAATTCTATGTATAATATTTTTTACAAATCTGTAAACAAAAAGACTAAAAATACGGCTATAATATAATAAGAACATAATAAGCTGTTATGTAAAATATTGCTGTTATAAGTCAATCAATTAGTAAATATATTTGCAGAAAAATATTGTAAAGTGTTAAGTGGTTGCGAAATTTGTCTTATCGCACTTAATTGTATTTATATTTGTAAAAAATATTATTTGTTGTGTCTTGTCGAGATTATTAATATCTATTAACTCCTTCATGAATTTTTTATTGTTTCTTTATCGCGTGTGGGAAAAAATTGATAAGTAAATCCTGACGGTGAAAGAATTCCGAAAGCTTTGTAGATATACGTCGTGTACGACGTTGCATAAAATGATTAATCCGACTCTCATCTTCAAAACAATACGACAAGCATAAATAACCGTACTGCGGCACGCGTGCATAAAAGTTATTAAAGCCGGTAAACGTGAGAAATGGATTCTATTTTAGTTGCATTTTAATGATCCACAATGAGCAAGTCATATCTCGTGTTTTCCATAGCGAAATGTCATGGGAAGAATGATTCATAACGATAAGATAACATTTATGAGCTTTTATAATTGTTGACAAAAGTATAACCCACGCACTTTGTGACCGTTATGAAAATCAATCATCCATATACGAAGGAGTAGAACTGGCCGCATTCTGCTCTCGTTTCTCGTGAAACAGCCTCGTTTATTCAAAATCTAAACATAGCTCAATCTTGTGCGGCGAAATATGCAGATTACAGTTCATTATAGTTCATATTATATAGTTCATTTTAGTATTTAAAAATATTCATAGAAGTCTGTAATCAAGAATTAAAAAGTGACAGAAATTAAAACATATCCGTGACATCCAATATGATAAATTGAATTCCAGAAGGAATGAGAAAAAAATTTACTTTTGTTTTCAGAACACATTTTAAAAGAAATATAATTTTAAGATCGGAAAAGGTGCTAAAGCGGAGATATTTAACATAATAAATTGTTACGGATGTGATAGACTTTTTTTGCAAAAATTTTTGTAACAGAAAAATTTCGCAATACTTCAAAAAAAGTTATTTTCTGTCAATTAATTCTGTGTATAACATTTTCATATACTAATAAAAGAAATTGAAATCAGACATAAAAATGTAAGAATTATATTAAATTGTAATATAAAGTATTCTTACAATAAGATATCAAATATAAATGACATATATTTCCGCAATCATTAAACATCATTTATAAAAAAAATATAAAGTGCTAAAAATTACAAAATTTTTTTTATAGCGAATTCAATCACGTGTGTTAAATTATGGTCTATTCTTTATCGACAAACTGGTGCACATTGGTGTAGAATAAATTAAAGCTAAATTTGTTTCACACTTCAACTTATTTATGCACCAATTTAAATAGTTGTTCAATAAAGAATAAGCTTTTTATTAGTGCATACTCAAAGCTACTATACATGAATAGCAAAGTGTTAAAACCATATAAATATTTTAAACAGATACCTAATAATGTTATGTTTAACAGAATATACATGTATTATTTCATTGTCAAAATATTATACTATGCCACTGCATTTAGATATTTTATATCAAGCAGCCTTTAATGTGAATTAATCCAGTGTAGTTTGAGTGACCGAATTATAGAAAAAGTTTTTATGAAAAAAAAAGTTGTATTAATAGTAGTAGCTGTTATACATAGATAACAATTTAATTGAAAATAATCTTATTAATTCAATGACAGTATTAATAAAACAAATATGCTATACTCTTGTTTTAATAAAATGTTTTTGTTTTATTAATTCTGTTATTGAATAAACATTGTTTTCAATTATACTGTTATTGAGCTACTAATACATCTTTTTTTCTATGTAGAAAAAATTGTCAGACAAAAAATATGTTTAGAAAATATGTTTCGTCAGAGAAAAATGATCTCATAAGGAAAGGCTGTATGAGGTCATTAAATTTCTAAAATAATTGATATAATATCGGTACATGCAATATAGGACTTACATCCGCATTTATCCGCATTTATCCGCATTCATGACTAAAATTAGAAACATAATACGTAACGTTGTGTATCATATTAAAAACACAAATCAATGCAAATAAATGCGAATATATATCTCCTCATTAAATCGACTGAGTATATGAAAAAGAATTAAACCTACGTCTGTATATATTTTATTAATATTATCATAACAGAGATTCTCACTCTCAGGTCAAGCTTATACATTGCTAGCCCTTCGACTCTCGGAGTGGCCGACACCCCGGTATCGAGTACACGTCAATAGCTATATCTTGCATGCTGTGAAGCTTCGTTTCAGGAAAATTCAATTGCTATTAGGATTAATGCATTTAGGCATTGTGCGACAATTAGACAACGAGCGTGCAGTGTCAGCTTCGTTTGCAGTAATTCTAGACAATAGGTCGCTTACACTTGCAGCATCGGCGTGTACGTATTCCGTCCAGTTCTGTGTTCTCTCCTTGTTTTTTTTTTAGCGGTGATGACAACGCGCGAACACGCGCACGATTACAGGATACCGTGACCGTACGCCAAACTGTGCTGCCAGTAGCTGCCAGCACTGTAGTACTGTTCTGTTGACTGACGAGTCGCCGCCGCCGTCGTGCGTTCGACCAATCAATTGACGTCGGAGCCACGCGAAGTGCGCCGCGAGGCGGCGAGTTGTGACGTTCTGACTAGTTCTGACGTCAGGGTCAGCTGATCGTGTGAAGTTGCCTGCAAGCAGCAGTGTCAGTTCGTCTATTGTTGTTGCGCCTCCCCGTGGTGTTTCTTGTTTTTCAGAACGACTACGACCCATTCTATTTAGTCTATTTCAGTCGCCTCCAGTTTCCGAGGCAGTCTCTTCCATTCTCGTTTCTCGAGACATTTTGCCCCGTTCTCCCTCGATAGCCCGGAGAAAATCGTCATGGGTCTCGTGTGTTCGACGGCTCAGGTATGAATCAGAGATAATTATCGTATATTGGACTCATCCTTCTTAGTAACGTAGATCTTTCTCCTTTCCGCTTTCCTCTTCGCTCACCGAAACTAATAATATACTTTCTGTCGAAATTATTCGCAGTGTTTTATTTTAATTATGCTGCGATTACAATTGTATTCCATTATTGATTTCTGGGATGGTTATCAGTCATGTTTGTTTTATTGCCTCCGATAAAGACATATTATATTTAACTCTTTCTTTTCACGCAATTAAATCAATTTGAATTTAATATTCTTCGATGAAAAATCTTTCAAAAGTTTGAGTGAGTCATTGAATATATCTAATTAGGTCATCATATTTGTTATTTGACTATACATATATATCTATTATTGATTTGGATATATACAATTAAGAAAACATAATATGCCAGTGCTATTTTTAAAGATCCTTATGATAGAAATATTTTAACACTGTCAAAATATAAAACTGAATTATACATATATGAAATGTTTACTACTGTATATTTTTGTTTTATTGATTTACGAATTATTTGGGCTCTATATTGCTCTCTTTTATTACATAGCTTGCGTGCTTGTGCGGAAGCACAGCTTGCAGCTTTTGCTGCTCTCAATGTCCCTCGTGTAGGAATAGCACGAGCACTCGCATCATGTATGCGCTGCTCTTGATGCTGGGAGCTATTGCAGCCTGTATCACTCTGGCTCCTGGTCTCCAAAACGCTCTTAAAAAGGTAACGTCAGAAACAATGATTACACATTCAGCAGAATGTTTATTTTCCAACTATTAGAAATTTTCTTTACCGGGATAAAATTGTTCCTCTAAATCTAAAAGTATAATCTCCAATAAGCACTTTGAAAATAAATATTCTGCTGAACGCGATCAATCTAAAATAAAGAAGAAACGCGTTAATACTACGATTTTTTAAACAGGTCCCGTTCTGTGCAAACAGCTCCTCTAATTATGTTCCATCGGAGGTCTCTCTCGACTGTGAGTCTGCAGTCGGTTATTTAGCTGTCTATAGAATATGCTTCATTCTTTCCTTGTACTTTTTCTTGATGTCTGTAATAATGATCAGAGTAAAAAGTTCACGCGATCCACGGGCACCTATACAAAATGGGTAAATTAAATTGACACATATTACAGTGTGGCGTTTTAAAACTGACTAGTGATGTTTATATGAAATTGTCAGATTCTGGGCAATCAAGTATCTTTTGATAATTGGTGGAATCATTGGCGCTTTCTTCATCCCAGAAAGATCATTTGGTTCTACTTGGATGTATTTTGGGATGTTAGGAGGTTTCCTCTTTATAATTATTCAGTTAATTCTAATTGTTGATTTTGCCCATACTTGGGCTGATGCTTGGGTAGGAACTTATGAGGAAACCGAGTCAAAAACATGGTAAAGATTATTTTTGTGGCCACTTTAATATTTAATCATGCAGGTGTTTTTGTTATGAAATATATGCTTTTTAGGTACGCTGCACTATTAGGTACAGCTGTCTTCCATTATACTTTCTCTATTATTGGAATAGTGCTACTTTATGTATATTATACACATGTAAGATTATTAACTATGTTTCTTTATCTAGCTTTAAAGCTAACTTTTAAGATAAATATTTTCAAGACACAGGATTACTTGCTTGTTTTGTGTATTTACAGCCAAGTGGGTGTGCCCTAAATAAGTTTTTCATTTCATTTAATTTGATTTTGTGCGTCATTACCAGTATTGTATCAATTTTACCAACTGTGCAAGAACATCAACCACGATCTGGATTGCTTCAGTCCTCCATTGTAACATTATATGTGGTATACTTAACATGGAGCGGTGTATCAAACAGCCCAGGTAGAGGTCAATGATGTATTGAGATGAAAGCTCTTAGCAATCCATATTTTATTCTTGATTTGTTATTATTTGAATTTACAGATGGAGCGTGCAATCCTGGTTTTATCCCTGGCATCTCGAGTCATGATGTCAATACACAAAATCGTGTTACGTTTGATAAACAAAGCATTATTGGACTAATAATATGGTTTAGCTGCGTTTTATACAGTTCCTTACGTACAGCATCCAAATCATCAAAGATTACAATGTCTGAAAATGTATTAGTTCAGGATAACGGAGCTGGTAAATATTAGTTGGATATTTTTTTTGTTGTATGTATATATTTTAATAACTTTATATTTGTGAAAGCGTGCCGTTTTGCTTCAAATTTGCCGTTTGTTTGTATCAAATTAGATATTAAGATTGAGATGAATTGAAATTTGACAATCAAAGCAAAGTTTATTAAATATTGGTTTTCTTTCTTCTGATTTTCTTTTTTTTTTTTATCAAATTTCAATCCAATTGTAATCTTAATTGCTAATTGATCTGATAATTGATTTTCTTCCTTTTAGAAATTTTAACTGTTCATGAAAGATTCTTTTTGAATTCACCTACAGTAGTATTACTATTACTTTTTTGTATTAAACAATATCAATCTTTCTATAGTTAGGAATGCGGCAGAGCAGTCTCTTATCGCCAATGAAGGTAGGCACACACTATTTTACAAGTAGAATTTATTTTCTAATTATAAACTTGTTATTTGCATTTCTATCTTTAAAATAATGTATTCATACATTTGAATATTTGCCCAAATGAAGTTATTGACTAATTTATATATAGATAATTGAAAATATATTTTCTATATTTATAACTATGTAGTATGAAATAACTAGATTTTTTACATCTGCCTAGCTGGCCCTGCCTTAACCAAATCTTAATGAATAAATTATATGATAATGCGCTATTTATGCGCTTTCAAAATCTGCAAAAAAAAATTTTGCGTTTATTTCGTTTAGCTAAGAAAAATTTTTTGTGGGGGCTGAGTAAACTTTCAGTTAATCCTCTCTCCTCCCCCATGTGTTAATAATAACCGATTTGAAAAATCAAATTCTTAAGGGATTTCCCTCTTGGACAGTCATATTCATCTCTAAGTCGTTTAAAATTGCAAAATTACGCTATCTAATTATTATAACATATATCTTCGACTTATGCGTTATTATTCCCAAACAATTTCGATTTTATTATATAATTTATTCATTAACATTTAGTTAAGTGGTGGGGAGGAGGCAGCTAGACAGACATATATTTTTTGCTTAGTAGTTAGTGTGTGTTTACCTTTATTCTCTTTTTTATTACCGTCACAAACATTACAGTATTTTTATAATATTAAAATTAAGTATTAGATGCTGCAAGTTAATTTCTAATTTTTTCTTTAATTTTAATACATATATAATGAAGGAATATATACACATGCATATTACAGCATGCTGTCAAAAACATTTATGAAAGCCAGTGCTTGTTCAGTATTTTTATTTGCAACTTAGTAGCTTTTTCTTTTCTGTTATTTCTTGTTTTCCTAAATGTAATCAGATTATACTACGGTAGAAGGACGCAATCCCGATGCAGAAGGCGGAAACGTAACTAAGGTTTGGGATAATGAAGAAGAAAAAGTGGCATACAACTGGAGTTTCTTCCATCTTATGTTTGCTCTTGCTACTTTATATGTTATGATGACACTCACTAACTGGTATCAGTGCGTATCTATAATGTTATAACTATATTTGAACTATATTTGTTTTAATCCATCAATGCTACTATATTGATATCTTTGATAGACCAAACTCCACTCTGGAGACATTAAATGCAAACAATGCTTCAATGTGGGTGAAAATTATTTCTTCATGGATGTGTTTGGCTCTTTATGTATGGTCATTGGTAGCGCCTGCCATTTTCCCGAATAGAGATTTTTCTTAAACTTCTGGATTTATTGTAAGCCAAAATCCAAGAGTTTACAACAGGTATTTATGTCGATATTGTAATGTAGTGTTATAAGAAGTGATAACTAAGTATCTGTTTTAATATAATTAAAAAATCTTATGTTACAGACATTTCTCTGCTTATGATCTAACATTGAAATGCTAATGATTATATTTAAGCCAAATAACGCAATATAAAATATTGCATATTAAAATATATTGATCTATTCCTAAGAAGTAGATTCTATATAAAAATTTACCTTGTCAGAAATTATGTATTTAACATAGATATGTGCAGAATAAACTGCATGTAATTTTAATTATTAAACTCCTATAATATTAACTAATTCTTAGATTATATACAATAACTATCAATTTAATGATGTGCTTTGTTCTGAGAGACTAACAATTTGTATTGTTATCATATGCTTTATATGTTATAAGAATCAGTGTTCTGTTAATGCCATACATATAATTAGATGTATAAAATTATGGTATATAAAGATATGATAGGAAAATTATATTTTTATTTATGTTTCTAATTTATGAAATTTATGATTATTTGAAAATTTATTTCAGCATCTATTCGATTTTTATATTATGCAATACATTGCATGTACTCAAATAATATTCCTGTACCACTGATGCATTTATAACTAGTTTATAATTGATAATTAACGCATACATATGCGTTATTGCAGTATATATTAATTGCATATATACGTATTCTTATCAAACATGTGACTCTATTCATATAAAATAACGTAGTTAAATACATTAGATGGTGCTGCTAATTAAAAGTTGTAGTATTTAGAAATTACTTTATTCAGTGGGGATGATTAC